ACTAGTGCCACAAGATGATGCAACTCAATGCAATGCACTAGAGGCTCTCCAATCTCACTCAAGATGATGAAATCAAGTGAACAAGTGAGTGGAGTGTGTTGCTCAGCCTCCAAATGGTGTGCACAAGTGTATGAGGTGCCAAGAGAGTGGCCAAGGCCGGCCACACCCTCTATTTATTGCCAAACAAGCAAATAGAATCGTTACCCCTTGGAGCTGCTTTCTACGAGGGCACCGAACAGGGCGGTGCGGTCACCGGATAGGGGGTGACGGTGCCCCAACGGTCGAATTCCAACGATCAACCAAAGGCTAGTTGGTCACTGGATAGAGGCGACGGTGGCACTGGACAGGGGGTGGCGGTGCCACCATGGCTGAGCCCCCAAAAACATCCCACTCTGGATAATTAGGGCGGTGCACCGCCACACCCATGGCAGTGCCTCCCTCGGCTATAAATCCAACTTGCTGTCCTCGGGTGAAATAGGGCGGTGGCACCGGACATGCAGTGATGGTGCACCGCTGTGCCCATGGCGGTGAACACCGCCGTGTCTGGTGACCACCCCACAGTGGCCCTTCTCTGTCAGGTCCTGGTGGGCACCACCACAGGGGTGACGATGAATCAGAAAAGGGGTGGCGGTGCCACCTAGGCACCCCCACTAGCTCTCCGAGTTGCAAACTTTGTCCCATTTTGATCCACGTCAACTCGGGATACTCCCCGCAAGCGATGCTAACTCTCAAAGTGTTTTCTCAAAACATATTAGAGCCAAGTTAGCATTTCCCAAAACATTTTTAATAAATATTTTTGCTTGCTCTCTGATGTGCACTAGGCCTAAATGCAATGCATGAAGTCCAACACCTAATGGCACTAGATGAGCAAATTGTATAGTTAAGAACCCCTCTTAGTAGTATGACCATCTATCCTAAATGTGATCACACTCTCTATAGTGTCTTGATCACTGAAACAAAATCCCTAATTATGCCTTTGCCTTGATCTTCATATGGTTTTGTTTTTCTCTTCTTTTTCAAGTTGAGCAGTTGATCATCATCACATGTGGCCATCTCATCATTTCATGTGATCAACATCACCATTTGAGTGCCACCATGCTCCTCCCTTAGATTGCACCAACCTACCTCATATCATCACTCATGGAAAAGGTTAGTGCTTAGGTTTCATCAATTATCCAAAACCAAACTAGGGCTTTTAACCGCCACCCCTTGTCCGGCGGCACCATCACCCCTAGGGTGGTGCCCACCTGGACATGGCTGAGGAGAGCTGGTGCTGGGGCTGGCACTAGAAGTGGCAATGTGCACCGCCACGGGTGTGATGGTGCACCACCACCCTATCCAGTGGCATCGTCCCTTTTCAACAGAGAGCGGGTGAATTGGAGATGGGTGCCCCCGCGGTCACCGCCACCCTATGGCAGTGCACCGCCCTTTTTTCCAGAGAGGAGGGAAAACGGGGGCTGGCTCGGGGTGGCACCGCCACCCCCTGTCCGGTGCCACCGCCGCCTCTTTGGTGCCCCAATGGCTAGTGGATGACCATTGGAGGGGCACCATCACCCCATGTCCGGTGACCATACCGCCGTGTCCAGTGCCCCCGCAAAAGTTGACTCAAAGGGGTAACGGCTCTATTTGCTTGTGGGCTTATAAATAGAGAGTGTGGCTGGCCTTGGCCACTCTCTTAGCACTTCAAACAGCTGTATACACCCTTTGGGAGCTAAGCACACCACTCCACTCCCTTGCACACTTGATTTCATCATCTTGAGTGATATTGGATATCCTCTAGTGCATTGCCATGTGTTCTAGCATCTTGTGGCACTAGGGCGATTTGGGCTGGTGGAGATCTTGTTACTCTTGATGATTGCCAACACCTAGATGGCCCGATGATTGGTGGATCATTGAGCGGAGGAAGGTAATTGTCTTTGGCTCTAATCATTGTGATTGTGAGGGGTTCTTGTGCCTTCCCCAGCGGAGCGCCAAAGGCAACTCTAGTAGATTGCGCATGGCTTGTGGATCCTCATCTTGTGTTGGTTGTGCGGCACCCGGTTGTGGGTTAGGCGTGTGATGCCTATTAGCGCGTGAACCTCCAAGTGAGTGAATCACCACAACGTGGACTAGCTTATAGGCAAGCAAGTGAACCTCGAAGGAAAAATTGATTGTGTCATCATTGTCTCCTTGGTATTCTTTGTATTCATTGTGATTGATCTCTTGCCACGGCGGTATATCACCTCTACCACTCTCTTGCTTTACTTTGTGTATTTACTTGTGTAGAGCTTGTGGTAGTTGTAGCTAGTTAGTGTAGCTAGTGTAGCTCTTTAGCTATAGTTCTCTTGCTAGCTTGTTCACCTAGGTGTAAATTAGTGACTTAGCCCTTGTGTGATAACTAGAGATCATAGAGATTAGAATTAGGTAGGTGGCTTGCAACACAAGTGTAGTGCTAGAGCAAAATTCGTTTCACCATCTTATTTACTAATCACTTGTCTTAGTGTTGCTGTAGAAATTTTTAATAGGCTATTCACCCCCCTCTAGCCATTAGGACCTTTCACGCTTCGATGACCAGGACACGAGGGCGCTGCCGAGGAAGACGCAATAGCCGGATGTAGAACGTCGTGTGTCTGGGCAGCCAGCCCAGTTGGCGTCCGAGTAGGCCGTGATCGTTAGTGTAGCCATGCCGCGTAGGTGTAGGCCATACGTCGTCGTCCCCCGCACGTACCATAGGATGCGCTTGACGATGGCGAGGTGGCACTCCCGAGGATCATCCATGTAGAGGCAAGCTTGCTGCACAGCGTACGCGATGTTCGGACGGGTGATGGTGAGGTAATGGAGTCCGACAGCGATGCTGCGGTACTCGTTGGGGTCACGAACCGTGGCACCTGTTGAAGACGAGAGTTTGGCCTTCGTTTCGATGGGAGTGGTCGCCGGCTTGCAGTGTGTCATCCCGGCCCAATCCAGGAGTTCTTCGACGTACTTGGTCTGCGACAGGAAGAAGCCGGTGCTGAGCCTTTAGACGTCGGGTTGACCATTGCCGCGTCCGCGGCCGCGACGCCGAGAGCGGTTGCCACCGCTATGTGAGCCGGAGCCTCCAGAGTTGGGGCCACAACCGCTGGTGCCTCCTGGTGTAGGAGTGCTGGAGGAAGCACCGCCACCGCTGGGTGGCGTTGGAGGCTAGCTGCCACCCTAGGTGACCATGGCGTGGTGCGCGGCTAATTTGTTGTGCTGGGAGTCGTAGAGCTCCTCCAGTAGGAGGAATGAGCGGGCGGAGAGAAACGTGTGCGGGGGCTGCTTGGAGGTGATGGAGGAAATGGTATGGCAAAACTTGTTGTTGAGCCCACGCAGCATGTTCAGAACCTAGGAGGGCTCGAAGACCGGCTGTCCGAGGTCGCGAAGAGCGTCGGCAGCACCTTCAGCTTGGTGGTGTAGTCGGTGATGCTGAGGTCGCCCTGGTACAGGCTACGGTACTCGGCCTCCAAGTATACGGCACGATGTAACTGGTGGTCGCAAAAGAGATCGACGATGGTGTGACATATGGTGTGAGCCGTGGCGCCCGGGACGCGGACGCTGCGCAGGACGTCGCGCGTTATGGTGGTGTAGAGCCAATTGATCAGGCACTGATCGACCATACTCTACTCCGGATCGGCGCACTGAGCAACTGTAGGAGCCGCGTCGAGGTGGGAGTGGAGGCCGAATTTGCCGACGACGGAATCGAAGAAACACCTCCACTCGGGGTAGTTCGGATTGACGATGTCGAGCACTGCCGGGACATGGGACTTGATGTCATCTATCTGGAGCGAGGAAGCAGGAGCTGGGTGATTCGGTGGTGGCGGCGGCGGCGGCGATGCTCGGTGGTCATCATGATTGAACGAAGCAGTGAAGGAAGCAACAGAGGAGGAAGGAGAGGAATCGCCATGGGCGGCGTGATCGAACTCGAATAACGGATTGGTGTCCATGGTGAGCAGCGGAAGAGGAGGCGAGCGCTGGCGACAGGGGATCAAACCGCGCTGAATGATACCATAAAACAGAGTTGGATCAAACCTCGAGTTGTATTGATCTCGTAAATGAATATTTATATATGTATAATCTGGATGTTGCATATGTTTTGCAATGGCTATACACGTGTTTTCCTGTTATTTCAGACGCATGTTGTAAGTGTTTACACCATTTCGGACGTATGTCGCAAAGTATTTGATTTACATATTTAAAAATAAGTCTAGTGTTCCACGTGTTGCAGGCACGCCAAATAGAATGGACGCAGATCGAGATGCGGCCCCTACGTGGGCTCACGTAGGCGTGGAAAACAGAGCGGGTAGGCTCCCACATGAACTTACGCGGGGACACTATCCTGCCTGGTGGCTAAATGCCTAAATCTATATACAGGATAGCACTGGTCACTAAGTATCAAACCTGTTTGTTTAAATTTATCGGTCATAAAACAGTATTTTTGTCACAGTATTTTTCTCACAATAATCAGGTTCACTCGGCTTATCAATCGTGAAACCATAGGCCGAACAACATCAATATATCCACAGGTCTAAATAACACCAAATAAGAGGATAAAACTCAAATACGCTCCAAACAAAGGCGCCTACGTAGCAGCAGCTTATAAATTGAACTATACCCCGCTCCAAACAAAGGCGCCTACGTAACGGCAGCTTATAAATTGAACTATACCCCGACGAAAGAGATCATAGTCCGGTGTAACGAACTGCGCTGGACTGGACAAGTGAAGCAAAACATGACCCAGCAAACTTCTGCACCATCACCACTACAAACAGAAAAGCACGCTGCGCGCCGTGAGTAGCACACATTAGATGAAACTAGTCTAAACTTGCACATCTGAGTAGTACTAGGTACATCCAAGGTACACAAACTGAAACAGCCACTAGCCGAACACAAACTAAGTGTCACATTCACATCAGAAACCAAGTACTCCTACAACTACAAGTCTACAAGAGACTCCGAAGCGAGCTCAGCACGACAGCAGCCATGAGCCCCACCGTATCATCAACCTAGCAGGCGGCGGTGCCCGCGTGGAGGCGGCGCGCCAGGTGCACGAGGTGCCAGGTGAGGGACATCAGGGACAGCACGTTGCACAGGGACGAGTAGCCGTTGAGCTGCTTCAGCTGCCTGCTCAGAGTCACCCTGCTCTTCGACATCTCCGCGTCGCCTGTTGCCGTCGCGGGCTTCGCTTGCTTGCCGCCGGTCCCCGCGCCGTCCGCGGGAGCTGTGCCTGTGCGCGCTGTGGCCGCCGCCGTGGGGACGGTGGTGGTGGTGGCGGCGGTCGGCGTGGCCACGGTCACCACCGGCGGGTCGACGATGTCCACCATGTCACGTCCCCGGCCTTCTTCCTTCTCCACTTTCATCCTCTCGAACATCACCTGCAAGTATATAGATATGCGGTGAGAATTGGGACAGATACACGTACGCGACGACAGAAGGTGGAGCTCAACTTACTTTGGTGGCTTTAGGCTCGAGCAGCAGCATGTTGGCGAGGACGAGGCCGAGCGCGGCGAGCAGGTTGAAGCTCTGCGCGCGCGACGCCACGGACCTGTGCTCCCGCCCCAGCAGGTGCGCTGCGAGCGCCAGCCCGACGCCGTAGGCCATGGCGCGGAAGTACACCGGGAACAGCTTGCTTTGCAGCATGCCGAGCTGCTGCCGCGGCAGCGCCGCGGCCAGCACGTGGCTGGACACGAACGTCACCCACACGCAGGCGCCGTAGGCGTGGCGAAGCCAGGAGGTGCATCACGGCCGTCGCTGTGCGCGCCGCCTCCCGGCCGGGCGCGCCGAGGAGGTACGCGGCCGTGTCGGCGCCCACGTCGCGCGCCCGCCGCGCGATGTCCGTCAGGTTCTTGCCCACCTCGGCGGCCCTCGCCTTCACTTCCACCTCGGCCTCCGCGCGCTCCTCGGTTCTCTGTGCGATGTCGGAGACGCTGTCCCTGGCGCTCCGGACGGTGTTCTTGGCGTGCCTGGCCGCCTCGGACACCCTCTCTTTGGCAGCCTTCGCCGCTTCGGCTGTTCCGTGCTGGATGTCGGACGCCTTCTCCTTCGCTTTGCCAGCGGCTTCGGAGACCTTGTCCTTGGCGCTCTTCACGGTCTCCTTCCCCTGATGCGCGGCGTCCAATGCCTTGTCCTTCGCGCTCCGCACGGCCTCCTTCCCCTGTTGTGCGGCCTCCGACGCCTTGTCCTTGGCGCTCTTCACCGTCTCCTTACCCTTCTGCGCGGCGTCGAACGCCATGTTCTCGGCGCTGTCCTTGGCATCCCAGACCGCCTCCTTGGCGCCCCTCGCCGCGTCCTCCGCGCCGTGCTCGACGCGGGACGCCGCGTCCTTGGCTCCCTCTTCCACTTTCCTGCCGGCGCCGCAGAGTCTGTCCTTGCACCGCTTGACCGCGCCGAGTACACCGCCCTTGGCGCTCTCCTTGGCGTCGGAGAGCCTCTCCTTGCCCTCCTCCGCCGCGCCGGCCACCTTGCCGGCCGCGTCAGAGACCACGCCCCTGGCCTCGTCGAACACCCCGCCGTCGCCCTCGACGCCGTCGAGCGCATCCGGGGGCAGGACGCGCGTCTCCTGGACCTTGACACTGCCGCCGTCCTCGGTCGAGAGCGGGAGCTCGCGCTCGTACTCCACGATGACCACGCGTCGGCCCTCCCGGACGACGTGGTCGGCGTGATGCGGGGCCGCGGGCGGCGGCGGCGGCGCGGGGGACCAGACCCCCGCGGCCGCCGGAGTGGAGAGGACGAGCACGATGGCCACGACGTTCATCATGGCGGCGATGTGTCGGTGTCGCATTTGGTGAGCACGCATCAGCTTGGTTGTCGTACGAAGTGAGCAGCTATCTTGCCATTGCGAGTATGGCGAGCACTCTCTTCACTGTAGTGTGCTCCGCCATGGCAAACAGCTTAAAAATCGCGGCCGCCGATAGTTGTAGAAGCTACCAAAGGTGTAGCCGTGGTGTGTGCTTTTTACACGTGGAACGACGGCGAGGTGTGCGATGGGGCACGTATGGCATGGCCACGAGCCTAGGAACGACACGCGTGCGTGAACGTGGCGTCGCCTGGTATGGTTTCGGTTCTCGCGCGCTTCGGACCTCGGGGTCGGCTGTTGGAATAGCGGCGGCCGGTGGGGACCTCTGGGCTCAGGGATCGAGCGAGGCAGCGACGACGGCTGCGCTGCGTGGCACGGTCACCGCACTGGCAGCCCAGGAAGAACCGGCCCAAGATCATGCGCATCTGGGCTTCATGAGCATTATGAACCGGCTTCATCAGCCCGGATTGCTTGGCCCGGTGGTAAACAGAAAGTCCACCATTCTGCTCGGAGGCCCAGTTACTTTCCGGCCTCGCGCTGCGGCTGTTCGACGCGGGTCCGCAGGCGAAAACCCTACTCGCCTCGGCACACCGCTCCCGGCCACCGCCGCAGCCGGAGATGGAGGACATCGAGGACGTGCTGGGCCCGGCCGGCCTCTCTGGCGGCGGAGCGCCTCCGGGGCTCCGCCTCCCTCTAGCCGCCGTCACGGTCAAGCCGAAGCGCCGGTCGTCCAGGGTCGCGCAGGCTCCGCCTCAGCCCGAGGACCGGATCCCCGGCACGCAGGTAATGCCATTGCTTGCGGGCTTCTTAGAGATGCTCTATCTGTGCTTGTGATCTGATGTTCGCGCGGCTTCTCGTGCGTTCTGTGTTGCAGACGATTTACGTTAAGACTTTCGGGTGCTCACATAACCAGGCAAGCTTCCCTCCTCACTAGTTTCTGCTTATTCTTTTTTTATTACGCGAGCTTCCGAACTAGTTAGTGTGCTGATATGAAAGACTGCATAATTTTCGTGTTGGTGTCTTCGAGCGGCTAGTCCTGTAGTGCAAATGCTGAGAGGCCAATGGTTTTGCTGTGCTATGTGATTGACTTACTGTAACATCTCTTCCTTTTTCTGCTCCGCAGAGTGACAGTGAATACATGTCAGGTCAGCTCTCTGCATTTGGATATGCAATCACTGAAGATCCCGAAGGAGCAGATTTGTGGCTAATTAACACGTATGGTTGATTTCTTTTGTTTGCCGATTGCTCATTGAAGGCTAGATGTATACATGAAATGAATTTAAAACTGTTATGGCTATTGATTCGCAACATTGAACTCCACCTATTTTCTTGTACTTTACCATTCAGTGGACTGTACTGTCTAATACAGTAAGTGGCTAGGTGCTTAATTGATTTCCAATTTTCCATTTATGATGGCTGAGTCGGTGATGTTTAGGTACACGGGATAATTTAATTGCAAAACCCAACTAAGAAAGAAAGATTAATATGTACTGTATATGTAGCTCAACATTGACTTGTTCTATTCCAGATGCACAGTGAAAAATCCAAGTCAATCTGCAATGACAACCCTCATATCTAAATGCAAGAATGCAAACAAGCCACTAGTAGTGGCTGGATGTGTACCCCAAGGAAGCCAGGGTCTTAAGGAGCTTGACGGTATTAGTATAATTGGAGTGCAACAGATAGACCGAGTTGTTGAAGTGGTTGAGGAAACTTTAAAGGGCCATGAGGTTCGGCTGTTGAGTCGGAAAACACTGCCTTCACTTGATTTACCTAAGGTATAAGTCGTACCTCTGCGTATTATTTTAAGCACAATACTTGTGTCTTGCCAGTATTATGAGCACATGGGTGTACAATTTTTTTGTTTATTAAGCAAATTCATGTGCTAGTTATATTAACCTTTTGTAGTTAACAGATCCGGTAACTTTATTTCCGACTCACTAAAATTATACTTACAGGTAAGAAAGAACAAGTTTATCGAGATTCTTCCTATTAATGTGGGATGTTTAGGCGCCTGCACATACTGTAAGACAAAGCATGCTCGTGGTCATTTGGGAAGCTATACTATTGACAGCTTGGTAAGTATATTCAGAATGTGTCTATTGTGGAGCAATGCTGCTGTTGCTTCAATCTCCAAGTAAATCATTTGATCTTCAATCTATTGCAGGTGGATCGTGTGAAAAATGTTGTCTCCAAAGGTGTCCGGGAGATCTGGTTGAGCAGCGAAGATACTGGTGCTTATGGTAATCTCGATGTCCAATTCCTTCTGGATCTTCTAATGATAGATAAATGTGGTAATTTACTTCTTCTGGCTTGCAAAATTTTCAGGACGGGATATCAGTACAAACCTTCCAAATTTGTTAAATGCGATTGTTGCGGAGCTTCCTGTTGACCAAAGCACAATGCTCCGCATAGGCATGACAAATCCTCCTTTCATACTAGAGCATTTGAAGGAGATAGCTGCTGTTTTGCGTCATCCCTGCGTTTACTCTTTCCTCCATGTTCCTGTGCAATCTGGAAGCGATGCTGTTTTAACGGTATAGTTAAACTTTCAACTCTTGTTCTGAATAGCTTTCTAGCAGCAAACATACAGCATGAATATTCTTTTTTTTTTTGATTGGGTACAACTGGATACACACAAACCACACACTCCACACTCACACCACACGCACACATTGTTTATAACTTATATATCCAGTGTCTGCACCTGGATCTGACTCAGTGTATGATTGCACATGCAAGGCAATGAATCGTGAATACACTGTTGGCGAGTTCAGAAAGGTAGTTGACACTCTGTGTGAGCTTGTCCCTGGAATGCAAATTGCTACAGATATTATCTGTGGCTTTTCCTGAAATACGCTAAGCAAGTTCTCAGCTTAGCAATATGTTCTTAGTTATCATTTATGAGTACATCTGAATGATATTTTATTAATTGAATGCCACAAAAATGCTGCTGCTAATACTTTGCACTGAATTGACATCCCATTTTCAGGTGAGACTGATCAAGATTTCTCTGAGACTGTTAACCTCGTAAAGGAATATCAATTCCCTCAGGTCCACATTTCACAGTTTTACCCTAGACCAGGTAAATTGTTCTTCCTCAAGCCACAATGGTCTGTAAAACTACAAGTCTTGGTTGTTGATATTCTTTTCCTGCGTGTACATCTACAATGTGGTTTTTGTAGGGACACCTGCTGCTAGGATGAAGAAGGTACCAAGCAATGAAGTGAAAAAGCGGAGTCGTGAATTGACTTCAGTTTTTGAATCATTTTCACCATACCAAGGAATGGAAGGCAAAGTAGAGAGGATCTGGATCACCGAGATTGCGACTGATGGTGTTCACTTGGTAAGTGCATACCAATTCTTGTCGCTGATTGCTGATTATATGTTCATGCCCCGTGTAAAGCTTACCCTGAAATGATCTTTTCCTGCACAGGTTGGACATACCAAGGGATATATCCAGGTGCTGGTAATTGCTCCTGATAGCTTGTTAGGAACATCAGCAAATGTGAAAATCACATCTGTTGGACGATGGTCTGTCTTTGGTTATGTGATAGAAGGATCTGTTGCAGTAGGAGAAGCACCGAAGCAAACTAGTGCCAAACTGCAGAAAGAACATGGACAGAATCAGGTGGAGGAAGCTGGTTGTTGTGCCACTGACTCCTGTGGCACCATTGCATCCTCCAATGAGGCACAACAGTGTGCCCCAGAACGATGTGAAAACACATATCATGCCCCGCAGGCCTGTGGTGATGTTACTCGTCAGGAGGCACTCCAGCCTACGCTTGTGAGGAGAAGGGTAGAGGGAACCCCGAAAGAAAGTGAAAGCAGTGCAGCACATTCACTAGGGAAGGAACAGCAGGTGAAAGTAGTAACTAGGAGAGGGGTAAACATTGACACGATTTTGTGGTGCGGTTTGGCCGTGAGCTTCGCTGTAACGATAGCTCTGCTTGTAATCCTTACCAGCAAGATTTCATCGGCATCGGTGTTTGTAGCTTGTAGTGATTGTCCTTGAGCGTGTCGCTGATCAATTTTGGCGGTTTGTTTACTCGACCTGTTCTGTATGTCATTGCATAATTGTGCCACTATACAAGTTTTCTCGTAGTCTTCTGATGATGCATCATGGATCAGGGTTTGATGAAACTGAAGAACTTGATGTTATTTGCTATTGTGTTCGGAAGAGTTTTGTAGTGCACCGATACCCAACGCTTAGACTAAGTGTGCCATCATTCATCAGGCAAAGATATAACCGAAAAATAGGAAAAGTGAGCAGGTACCAAACAGACAGACAGGCTGAAGCGCGCGCGCACACACAAAAGGGGAAACCGAAACAGAAAAGGTGAGCAGGTACCAAGCAAACAGGCTAGAGCACAAAAGATCGAAACGGAAAAAAAAAAATTAAGCAAAACACAAACAGGCTGAAGCACATAAAAAAATTCTGATATCAGAGCGAAATTAAACGCAAAAGGTGAGCATGTACCAGTAGTACAAAACAAACAGGATGAAGCACAAAAAAAAACTGAAAAAACAAACAGGCTGAAGCAAAAAAAAAAAGAAAAAGAAATATCGAGTCAGCTTTCGATCCTGGGACAAGCTTCCGCTACGCCACTCCGATCTACGTTTAGAGATGCGAAAGTAATTTATAAATCTTATTGAATGTGAGAGGTACAGACACGATTCATAGAGCGGGTATCCTCTGCACCGGCACGGACGAGCTCTGCACTCCACAGTCTGGGCACGCTCAGTCCACCACAGACCCGAACATGAAACACGAACGAGTCGCCGACTCGCAGAGTCGCAGTAGCCTACATGCGCTGCGCACACAGCCGCACAAGCGACCAGGAGATCCAGCCCCCAACGAACTACGGCATTGTAGGCGTCTTGCTCGGTCTCCAGGAGATGCATACCCTTGTTTTGCCCTTGTGCACGTAGACACAGCGTCGATGACTTCCTTGGTCCTTGCCAGGTTGCCACATGGATGGTGTCTCAGGGCGTGTTTGGAAACGTGGCTGAGGCCGGCTCAGCCCGCGGGCCTGTCCCAGGCCAGCCAGAGCCTATCCGAAGCGGTGCAAGGCCACTTTGTTTGGTTTCATGTACACCTGGCCTAATACAGATTGTGTTTGGTAAGACGCAAAGATGGATATGGTCACCCTCGTATCTGGAACAGGTGGCATTACCTCCCTTCTCTCCCTTGTTGGCATTCCATCGAGCGATTGGTAGGTGGCGGCGAGGAACATGAGTACGTCGTCGGCGAGCATCCGGAGTGGGACGTGGAAGAAGCTTGGCTGCACGAGGGCGACGTCCTCCATCTCGGGTCGGCGCCTGCACGGGATCGGCGATTGGGGCTGGCTGGAGGAGATGTTGGGCTGGTACCTACGAGCCAACGACGGCGACACGCACTGCGCCATCGTGGCCGCGTTCATCAATGTCGTCGTCGCCATAGCCGGGTGGGCTCGCGGCAGCAACCGGATCTGTGCGGCGGCGGCGGCGCCACGCGCGCTCGCAGTCAGCTCTGCGCGGTGGTGGTGAGAGAAGGAGCGGTCTCCTGCTCCTCGTCGGAGCTCTCGGCGTCGGGGAAGAACCACCACCGACGCCACCAGCCCCGGCGCTGGCGCGCAGGCAGGGCCTTGTACAAGGTCTTCCACAGCTCGTGGTCGCGCTCGGCCACGAACAGCCTCAGCTCGGAGCTAACGCACTCCATCCTCGCGAGGACCTTGCCGTCGGTCAGCTTGTCCAAGACGGCTCCCTTGAGGTCGTCGGGAAGGGACGCGAAGCCGCTCAACGGCAGGCCGTTCCTGTGGCATAGCTCGTCGAGGAGGCCCCAGCACACGCCGTCGGCGAGCGCCTTGCAGATCCGAGACGCCCTAGGCTCCACGCCACCGAGGCTGCGGGGGACGAGCGGCCTCACGGTGTCGAGATCCAGCCGCTCCAGGTACACGTTCTCCGGCGTGTCGTCGCCGTCGGTGGTGGTGAGAGAAGGAGCGGTGGGAGACAGACCGGGGCAGTCGGGAGGTGAGTCCACCCCGCGCGTGAGGCTTCAGCGAGCCAGGCCGAAAAGGAACGAACCCCTCCTTCGTTTTTCTAGGGCCTGGGCCAAACTGCTTCAGATGTCGTGTGGGGCGGACTCCGAGGTTAGACCAGGAGCACCAACAAACACGAACACGGGAGTTGCAGGCCCGAGAGCGTAGCCGGACCGTTGGGCCACGTTACCAAACGCGCCCTCAAAGGCCTCAGCGGTACAGGTACAGTGCGTTCATATATCATACGTGCAGTCGTGCACCGCGGACGCACAGGTTACTTTGAGAGCACGACGAGCCTATATCCTACGAGTGGTAGTGGCACGTACGTGCACCATGTCAGCTCCTGTTTGGCCGTTTGGGCAACCGCGCCCCCCCACCCAGCGTCCCCAACCCCGTACTGACGGACGCGCGGCCCCGCCGTGGCGCCGTCGACACGAGGCGCGCAGGGTGGCAAGCCAGCTCAACGCGTGGCGCGCGCTTGATGTGCCGACGCGCGTGCCTGAACGGGACCGGTAGTTGCAAGGAAACGAGCGAGGTCACCCGCGCGGACGCGCCCCACGCGAACAGCGGGCGGGCAACGCCTGCTTGCCAGCCTCATGGCTCCGGGGCCTCCGGCCGGCTCTGTTACCGAGACGGCCGCTGTTCCCGCTCCGGCCGTGCCTGCGTGTCTCACTCTCACGTCGTGGGAGAACGAGCGTGGCATGGTTGTACCAGGGGCATCGCTCGCGGCACACAGCGACTGCTGGTCACCGCGCGCACCCCGGCGAGCGCGCGACGCCTCCGCCCTCCTGCTGTGCCGTCTCGGCGCGGGAGCTGGACGTGGACACGTCGCGCGTGTCGGCCACCCCGGGGGACACGGCTCGCACTCGAAGGCCGCTCGTTTCACCGAGAACGGAAAGGGAATCGTGGAGCCTGGTGGAGCTAGTGGGGAAGATGGCCAGATGTGGGAGCGCGCGAGAGTGCGCGGGCGCCTTTTCCGGGATACTCTTTCTACTTTCGTCAGTGGTTGGTGCGAGGCTGCGAGCAGTGCTCCGGCGTCTACGCACGCCGCTGGCAGTGCCCCAGCATTTCCATCTCCCAATGGCAGTACGAGGGGTAGGAATATCTATTGCCCTGATTAGATCATATATAGTCTTAAAGTTTAGTTGATTAAATTTAAAGACTAATTTTTAGACACTTTTGGCTCATTTGTGTAGACTAATGAACTAATGATCTTTTTTTTAAAGTTGACTAAACTTTAGACAACATTTTAGACACAATGTTCAGAGCCTCCAGAGCTAAAATTTAGACCTAGCATCCAAACACCAAATAGAGTTGTTTACATCTCGAGTCATGTATTGCTGCATTTTCTTTTAAAAAACAGCAATACGAACTTACAACATGTGAGAAAATTAGGGGCAACACTCGTTGGGAGTAGAGGACACAGATGCACCCTCTAAAAATATTAAAATAGTGGTTTTACCTAATTTTTCACCATATATATGCACTGATAATATAAGAGTACCCTCTCTAATTTGCTCTAGTTTCGTCCGAATTTTTTTTTTGAGAAAAGTTTGTGGGATCGGTGCTAGTCAGATTACGGTAAGAAACTAAGATATCCTGCAAGAAGGGTTCTTAAATGTTCCTATATGAATTGATACAAGAGAAAGCAAATCCCCAACAAACTTTTTTGACTGTTGTTGTGCTAGGACGAAAAAGGAAAAAAAATACTTGCAAAAGTTTTGAGGGGGCAACGAACTAAATAGATGTCAGTGTTTCACTAAGCTAAGAAGAATGATACATTGTCTCGAGTAGTTTTCACGGTCCAATGGTGTAATAGTCTGAAAAGCTAGGGATTACTAGCTAATATAGAATAATTTGCATAAATTTTATGTGACCCATTAGGCATCCAAGAATATATGAGCACGCATGATTCGTTCCTTCACATACAATGTCTGACGTTTATAGAATCTTTTTGCATGAATATCATGAGACTCATTAGTCATCCTAGAATATACAAGCACATGTAATTCGTTCCTTCACATGTATCAATGGCGGAGCCTCCTAGAGGCAAAAGCCGCAAAACTAGGCTCTGAAGTTCTACTGCTCATAAATTGTTTTCTTCCGCGAGCAACATACCAACTTTTGTCTATTGAAATTAGCCTCCGTCGGTCTTATTAGTCTCTTATTACCTCTAGGTGCTTGCATTACCAGCTGCTCTGTGCGAAGCTTTAGCTAGTGACCACTTTTATACGATGTTAGTGTAACACTGAATTGCCTCCCCTCTAATTTTTACCTCACCCTTCGCTGCTGCATATAATGGTCTAATGTCTAGTGTAAAGAGTCCGTGTAAGATAGACGTTTACCGTATTTTCTTAACGTTAACTACACATATTCTCAAACTACTACCCTGAAGTCAAATCCATGCACATTTAAACCAGAGTAGCCAATTTGATACATATTTTTATCAATACGTCCTTGGAACCAAGACAAGCTTGTTGTCCTTATTGGCAAATCTCGATATCAAGCTAATGGATAGCTATGTTAGTGACAGAGATTGAACTCAAATTGAGAGACACAACAAATAGTGGAGAGCAAATACACAATAAAGAGGACAAATATACAATAAAGGGTAGCATGATATATTGTTTTCAGCATGCTCATAAATTTCTTGAACTATAGCTTCTTTAATGTGTGATTTGTCACATCAAAGCCTTAACTTTTAGTACTAATGTTGCAATAGATAATTTAATACATATCTTTAATTTAATTGTGATCTTGATTACAAGTTACTCCCTCTCAAAGAATGAATTCCTACCAATTTTAGGACAGATTAGCAACGAAGATAAAAGACCGTGCTACCTCTCGTTAAGCTGCTGAACCTTAATACTTACCAAGAAGCCTAATTAAATACTAGTGTCGTTTGGAATATCCAATAGCAATGCAAAAGAGAGAGGTTGTGTTAAACACAACGCAAACTATCAAAAATCGATTCTTTTGGAGACAAATTTTTAGTCTAGAGATTGATTCTTTTAAGAACATAGAAGTAAGCTTTACGGCTTTATCAGATTTTATGACAGTTTAATTAAATTGAAATCTGGTCAACTCACACCAAAAGCACCAAAAACCCACGCTCTCCAACCTTACACAAAGCCGAAGGCCAAAAGGCCCCGCCCCCAAATACCCAACTGAGCGCGCGTTTAGTTCGCGAAAAGTGCGAAATTTGGCTACTGTAGCAATTTCGTTTTTATTTGATAATTAGTGTTCAATCATGGACTAATTAGGCTCAAAACGTTCGTCTCGCAATTTCCAACCAAACCGTGCAATTAGTTTTTATTTTCGTCTACATTTAATGCTCCATGCACGTACCGCAAGATTCGATGTGACGGGTACTGTAGCACTTTTTGGGAAAACTTTTCGCGAACTAAACAAGGGCTGAGCAGCTGCCAGCTAGCCAGCACACGTAAGCGTACCCCCCCACGAGCGTCGTCCGCCGTCACGTCAAGCCTCCACGCCGCGCACGCCCCGGCCCCCCGGCCCCAGAGGTCAGAGAGACTCGTCCGAGAGTTGCATGGGATGACGGGTCCGACGGACACGCGGATCCGTTTGCCGCCAATAGCCTGCACTGACTGCGCTGCCGCCTCTGTCCGCGAGGCGAGGGGCGGTAAAAGGTGGGGGTGGTGGTGTGGTGTGGGAGGCAGTCAGGCAGGCAGACATTGCTGCGCGCGCCCCGGAGCAGAGCGAGTGCTTGCCATTACTGTTCGGTGCGGGGAGGTAGAGGGATAAGGAAGAAGGGGCTGGAAAGGGAGGAGGAGGGACTGAGGGTGATGCTGGCTTCGCCTCCTACGGGGAGGGATAAGGAAAGGCCGATGACAATGCCGCCGTTTCGCCCTCTTCGTGGTTAGTATCTCGTCGATCCCTGAACAATGCGATTCGCCGTGTCCCATTTTGTTTTTGTTCTTCTCGGTGGATGCCTGCCGGGGTGGGCTTTTTGATTGGGGAAATGCTGCTGCTGCGGTCTAATCGATCAGTTCGTCGGATGGTGGATTGATCCGTTGGCGCTGCAGACAGCGGGGTGCTCGAAGGTTGCCGTTCTTTCTTTCTTCTTAAGAGAAGGAATGCTGGATAGAGTTCTTGCTGCATGTTGAAGTTGGTCCTTAGTGGATGTTCTGGACTCCACTGAGAGTGTTTTTGCCGTTTGAAACACATTTTCAGTTTTTCACCATCCCGGTTCATTTCCCCTGTCACCCAGATGGCATTGCTTTCATTAATAGAATGCACCTCTGTTCCAGGTCATGGTGATTTCATTTCAGATAAAAATCACTGCTCCGCATTCAACGGATTTTATGTTCAGTAAGGTCATCTCAGAGTCTGCCACTTCGTTCGGTGTTTGGTAGCTTCGACGCTGTTGTATTCAGTGTTTTATCTTGATAAATATCCTTGCGAGCAGACCGATGCAGCATTGCAGCTGCTACCTGCTATCCTGTGATTTCAGTTCCTGCAGTTTAGTAGTGCTTATGCATATTTCTTTTTTCATCATGCTTCCATAAGTTGGTAGATTTGGTACTGGTTCCTATTTCCGGAACCACAGCTCTTTCGGTTGCTCAGGCTTTTGTTTCCTGCAATTATTTTAGCAAATTTATTCCCTGCATTTGTCGACTGAAAGTTGGATACCAGATGCTACTCATGTTGGCACAGAGCCATGGAATGTTGCATTACACAGTGATAGTGGCTCAATATGTTTTGGAGTATACATGCTTTGATTGAGCGCATTAATGTCTGCTTTAGCCGTGTTGCAATTGTTTCGAATTGAATCTTGCAAATTTCTGTGGTATTTCCGGATATCCTGACAGCCTTGTAAACTGATGTATGCTCAAATGTGTATTCTATCCAATGCAAATCTTATTGCTTTTCTAGATTTGGTTGTACCATGCTTGGTCACATCTTGCTTCTACTGTGCTTTAATTCATGGTTTTTTACTGCCTTGCAGAATAGCTAGTACGCGTTCAAAGCAACCGGCTGGCTGTTGATCAATAAGAGCAAGATGGATGGGAAAGGCTTGTTCGTGGAGATAGGGATGAAGGAGGAGGACATTGCCACAATGCTGTTTGGGAAGAAAGTTGCCGAGCTGGCAGAAGATGCATTTGATGGTTCCAAGGAAGAAAGACAGATCTTTGAGGGTGTCTTCTGTCTAAAAAACATTGATGGATTAAATGATCATCATCATGAAGGCACTGGACATACTGTGGATGCAGGCAAAGTGGTGACAAGGTCTAGCAAACCATCGAGCTCTGCCCACAATTACAAGACAGCACACTGTCGCATAGTAGAGTCCTTCACTGCTGGCAACTTATCAAGCTATCGTGTCTCCTGTCTTGGTGCCGATGAGCAGGCTCACCGAGCAATGCATTCTCCTGATGCTGTCCATTTTGAGCTTGCGGTACAGTGTACTCCTCCCCCTGATCGGGTGTACACTCGTAGGGTGGTAAATCGCAGGAGCGAGAGGGCAACAATTTGCAGTTCAATGGATTTGGAGAGCATTGACATTTCCAATTTCAGTCGTCGGAGGGATGGTCGTGGCCACGGAGAGCTTTGGAACCATCTTCGTCTGCATGCACAGCTTCTGATGGTGGATGCCGGGTGGAAGATTGAAGGCAAGGAAAGAGGCAACAAGACTACGGTTAAGGTTGATCATGTTTATGTGGCACCAGACAATGTGATGACACGCCTGTTTTCTCTTCCCAGAGCATGGAAATACTTTGGCCAGTGGTTGCTTCTGACAACACCCTGTGTCAATGGAAATGAGTCAATTGACTACGGAAAGGAGTGGTCGAACATACATGAATTTGTGTATGATTTGAAGAACACACTGCTATGCTTACAGTATGATGTCCAACGTACGAAGCCAGCACTATCTTTCCTCTCCCAGTGGCAGCTCCTTGATCCTTTCATGGCTGTTGTTTGCATTGATAAGAAGGTTGGAGCTCTTAAACATGGAGTGGCACTGAAAGCTGTTAACAGCACTACGACTTTCCTCAATCGCAGTGAGTGTAAGCTGTTGAATGCCAAGATTTCAAGTAGGTCACTTGGGGTCAACCCCACAAGTAAATATACGAATCCACATCTCAGCTCCTGCAAAAAAAGTCTTCTGCGGCTTCTCTCTGAATCTGATTATCAGCCTGGTAAGGAAGGGAATCCTATGCCTAATGAAGAAGCTTCTCTATTTTGTACAAACAAGACTAGCGAAGATGAAGCTGATCGACGGTCATTGTGTATGTCAGAAATGAATGAAAGAGGCATAAGAAGCACAGCTCATCGCATAGTTATGGGTCTTCATGATGCAACAGCTTTTCTTGGCTCAAGTCAAACTTGTTCCGGCAGGAAAAGGAAATTTCCGTGCATCAAGTCTAAAGAGGATCATCAAGCTGAAGACAAGTCTAAAGAGGATTCATCTGCATTAAGTCATCTGGTTGAAAATGTTCAAAAAAATGATGTTAGCTCTCATGGCTATGAAACCACAGAAATTGATGAGATGTACCTAGGAGATAATTTACTGTTTGCCCCCGAGATTGATGATATGCTACTTGGAACTACAGATGATATCAACAATGAACAGCATGATGATGCAGCTGTCTCTGAGCCCCAATCGGCAGATAATGATGGGAGTGGACCTTCTGGTGCATCATCACTAACACCAGAGAAAGATGCATACATGGGAGCTAAAAAGGATTGTATTAACAATGGCTATCATGATCCTCCAGTTGTCTCTGAGTTCCAAATGGCCAATAAGGATGCAGAATGTGAACCTTCTGGCACATTCTCGCTACTATCAGAAAAGGGTAAATATTTGGAAGCTCATAAAACGAGCTTGGAAGATCCAGCAAAAACAGGACAATTATCATCTGAAGCTAGTGGCAGCACTTTGATGATCTCAGAGCCACAAGTATTGTTTGTGTCCCCACAAGATGAGACTCTGTCTTTCGTGAACAATAATATGAACAACCAAGAGATGTTGAGCTTCCTGAATGCTTCCCCTGACACCATGGATACTGAAATGCAGCTGGACTCTAATTCTTTGGTTTATGAGGCAAGCTTGATCCAGGGTTTCTTGTACCTTGACAATGAGGGTTCTCCAATTTGTTGGACAGTAATGAACCCTGAACCTCCTAGGCGCTTGATATGTGCTACTGCTCCAGAACCAAACTCGAAGCTGTCGAAACAGTATGTTGAAATGAGGTTGGAGAATGATGCATCAACCTCTGAACAGAAGAAGGGGAAAAAATGGCCCGATAAGGCTGCAGATATCCAAGACAGTGTCAGATATCCTTTGAATCTAGTGCTTGCGAACAAAAATAACAAGGACCAAGGTGAGCAAAGCAGTGAACCTTCGGAACAACTCATGTCCAAAGAACCACACAAAAGGGACATCAAAAGGCAAAAGAGAACATGGTCTCGCACATGCAAGTTTGATGATGATGACCTTCTGATGACAGCTGTAATATATAAGCTGACAGCACGTTACAGGAACTCTTTTCATCGGAAGCTCAGAAATAAACTCGGTTTCAAGCGTCTTCCAAGATATCGCTGGGAGAATGAAGATAAAGGTGACAGGAAGAAGTTTCCTGGAGGAGCAAGGACGGTGCTGAACAAGTTACTTGAAATGGGCATTGTTGCTAGAGTGAACATTCTTCAATGTCGAGGTCCAGGAGGCAAAAATGTGTTAAAGGATGGGAACATAACTACGAGTGGCATTCGATGCCGATGCTGTGGCACCACATTCACAATGTCCAAGTTTAAGTGTCATGCTGGTCTCAGGCAAGAAGTCCCATCTCTGAATCTTTTCTTGGGTACAGGCAAATCATACAGTCTTTGTCAGCTTCAAGCATGGTCTATAGAGCAGAAGGTGAGGAAAGAGCGTGCAAAAGATACAATGTCCCTTCAAGCAGATCAAAACGATGATACCTGTGGATCATGTGGCGATGGTGGTGAACTGATATGCTGTGACAATTGTCCTGCTAGTTACCATCAAGCCTGCTTGCCTTGTCAGGTTTGTTATCCTGAGGTCATTAGATTTATCTGGACATTTTGTTTGGGCAAATAAACTAATTAGCTAATGACTCTTCTCTGCCTATTCATTACTACTAATGAGTAGGCTGAAAAGAACTATGTTTATTCTTGACCATGCCTGCTGTTCAAATGATGCTTCACAAATTGCTATTCTGCTGTTGTAATTTAACAAACAAAAGGGTGTCATGTCAGTATGTCACAACTCATACTTGTTTGACCCATGTTTGCTTACCATGCTTTAAGTAAAATCATGGAAAAAATTCACTTTTGTTCTACCATGACTCTGAATTACATTTTTTTTCTCTAACTACGCAGGAGAGCTGCGTGTCATTTCATTAAGGTAGAAATAAAAATGCACGAGTCTGGTTAGACCCTACTCGAGAACAAAAACACCACCAACACACACCCACTCTTAACTAAAACAGACGCACCACAAACTATATTGATGTCGACCAGACAAAACAGCCTGCCTTATACCCCCAAGGCCGGCTCCCTGACCAAGAGTTCATGGAGCTTTCTTGCTCCAGCACTACACCAAAGATTGCCCTCAGCACTGACAGCCCTAAGAACCTCCTGGATGCTTGGCGTGGCATTTTCAAACACATGAGTTACGGTGCCACACCTCCCAAGCTACCAAAATTATCAGGGAGTTGAGACCCTTCCTTTCAGCCTTGGGCACTGACGATATTGCCTTCCACCACCATTTAGAGAAACGAGATGCTGTAGGTTCTGGCGATAGAGAACTGCGACCCAAGTATTGGAAGATTTGAGCCCATATTTGACAAGTGAATACACAGCCAACCAAGATATGATGAATAGTCTCTTCAGCTTGATCACACAAAGGGCAAGCCTCAGGATGGGGCAGCCCCCTCTTCGCAAGGCGATCAGCCATCCAACACCGATTGTGGAAGACCAACCAGATAAAAAATTTGCAACGAGGAGGTGCCCAGCTTTTCTAAATTCTTTTCCAAGGACCAAATCTGATGGTTCCCACAAAGAAGGCAGCATAAGCTGATTTACTTGTGTATAAACCAGATTGGGCTAGCTTCCAAGTAAACTGATCTGGAACCTGTTGCTGCAGAACCATTCCATCCACCATGTCCCAGAGCTGCAGGTACTCGATGAGGACTGGTACTGTGCGAGCTCCCCTGATGTCATCTACCCACTTTCTGTTCTGGAGTGCCTGAGCAACAGTACGTCTCTTGGCTATACGTTTGGGGACAGCATTAAACAGGTTGGGGGCCAACTCAGCCAAGGTGTGACCCTCTGACCATCTATCTGTCCAGAACCGAATTTTCTCACCATTCCCTACTATGGCATCTACTGCAATATTGAAGAGGGCCTGAGCCTTGCGGGGGACTTGTACTGGAAGACCAGCCCATGGTCTTGATGAATCAGTTTTCTCAGCCCACAGCCAATGAATCCTTAAAGCGCAGCCAAGGAGTTCTAAGTTATGGATCCCAAGGCCACCATATTCAAGAGGCCGCTGCACCCTCTCCCAAGCCACCAAACAATTACCACCATTAGCTTGCTCCTGGCCTTTCCAAAGGAAGCCTCTCCTTTTCTTATCAATAGCCTTCAGAAACCATTTTGGCAAGTCCATGGCGATCAAAAGGTAAATGGGAACAGCTGTTAAAACTACTCGAACCATTACCAATCTTCCTGCCCGATTCATTAATGAGGCTTTCCAGCCCAGCAAGTAATCTTCCACCTTGTCAATTATTGGTAGCAAATCCTCCTTGGTGGGTTTCCCAATTGTGAGAGGGAGCCCAAGATAGGTGCATGGAAATTCCTTGATGGTACAGGATAAGATATCAGCTGTAGCGGCCACTTCATCAATAGAGCAATGAATGGGAGAAATCGAGCTTTTGGACAGGTTGGTTCGGAGTCCGGAAGCATGTCCAAAAAGGTCCAGCAGCTCTTTCATCAAATACAGGTCATCTCTTGCCGGCCTTAGGAAAACAACTGCATCATCAGCATAAAAAGAAACCCGATGCTGAACCTGCTGCATAGACAATGGCTGCAACAATTGCTCCCGAGTAGCATACTCAATCAAGGAATTTAGGACATTCATGACAATAATGAGAAGCATGGGAGAGAGAGGTTCTCCCTGCCTGAGTCCTCGCCTATGAAGAATTGTCTCACCCGGCAGTGGGCACAGAGCGAACTACTCTGAATTACATTGATTGGATCAATAATGTACTCCAGTTCTATCCTAAAAACTACAGTGTCACTGTAGCATTCTAGTGTTCTTCATCCTCAGCAGCATCACAGAACGCCTGATTTAGCACTTACATATTAGAGTTCATTTTACTGATATAATTTTCTATTTAACTTCCCATAATTCTACCCTAACAACCTTACTTCAGATTGTCTACCTTAGAGTCTTTAACAGCAGTAAGATGCAAGGTTCCGATAATTATTACTACTGAATTGTTTCACTGTATTGTAATTTCTCCTTCAGGATATTCCAGATGGCAACTGGTACTGCTCTAGCTGCCTTTGCGACATTTGTGGGGAAGTAATCAATTCAAAGGAGCTCAGAACTTCCCTTCCTGCTTTAGAATGCTCACAGTGCGAACGCCAATGTAATGTCACTTGTCATACTATGCATTTTTGTTGCCATATAAAATATCTCTCTTGTCAGTATGATTGTTTATATGATTTATCATTATGCGATACCCATTTATGATTATTTATTATATAATAGCACATTGTTCATGGAATGTTAAGCCAGAACATCAACACACACACACACGGGCAGGGCAGACTGCTTTTTAACCAAGCCTAGAGCAAGATTTTAATGACTTAAAGTTGTTGGTTAATTAATTACTGTATGAAACTAAATACATACTATGATTTTGGTTACTTATTCAATAACCAATTTATTTCCTCCAGACCATGTAAAATGCGTATCTGCCAAAGTTCCGTGCAATGAGGATGGACCTGGTACCTGGTTTTGTGGAAGAAAATGCCAGCAGGTATGTTTCAGAAGAACTTGACCTGTCCTTTAACTATCACGAGTTTTTTTCTTGAATACACAGGAGAGATGCACATCATTGCATTAAGGAGAGTTTTTTTTTCTTAACTATCATGTAAATGCATGGCAGAATGTCTATTTGAGTGAGACTGATCTTGTTCTGCTACTGTCAGATTTATACAATCTTTCGTTCTCGTGTTGGAGTGCCTGATCACGTGGATGATGGTCTGTCTTGCACCATTCTTCGTAACAATGGTGATAAAAAGGTTCGTACAGCAGAGGAGATTGCTCTCATGGCTGAATGCAACATGAAACTTATGATTGCCTTGAGTATTATGGAAGAATGTTTCCTGCCTATTCTAGATCCCAGGACAGGGATAGACATTATTCCCTCTATATTATATAACTGGAGGTGAGATGGCCTTTCTTTCTTCCTCTTGTGAATCAATATGTACTTGTGACATGCATTGTTGCTTACTGCAAGTTGCTTGTTTTTTTGTTACTTTGGCCATTCGAAACCTAACACCTGTTATATTCCTTTGCTAGGTCTGATTTCATACATTTCAATCACAAGGGGTTCTATACTGTAGTTTTGGAAAATGATGACAGCATGGTATCTGTTGCCTCCATAAGGTACCATGTGAAAAAAGAAGTCTGACATTTTTTCTAACTTGTTCATGAGTACACAGTCGGAGTAATATATACTACAGGAAGTGAACAACTGGGCTTAACGTAGATGTCGCTGCAGGTTGCATGGTGCAATTGTAGCAGAGATGCCTCTAGTAGCAACTTCTACAGAGAACCGTCAGCAGGGGATGTGCAGGCGCCTCATGGATTACATTGAGGAGGTATGGACATAAGTACAGTAGGAGAAACTAGTATCTTACTTTGTCTATATATGTGGAATCCCTTCATAATTGTTGTGCAAAATTATCTATCAAATTGGCATACTTCCAACATGTGTCCTTCTTAATTACCCTAGTGTTTGCCTATATGTTCATGTGTCTAGCATCTACCTCTTCCATCCATCGATGTAAGGTGTATTTTAGACCGAGAAAATCTTCAAAAGTAGATTTTAACCGTTTATTTTTCTTATATTATATTGTCAACCGCAATAAAATCAACATCATCTTACAAATATTTTGAACATTAATCTATTGATGCAACTTTTGTACACTGAGCACGCATGTAAGTTAACTAATTGTTGGTAAAAAATTGTAAAGATTGACTCTTTTTTTCCAAAACAAAATATGCCTTATGTGATTGACAAAGGGAGTACCGATTCTTGTGCTCGTCTTCAGTGTGTATGGCGCAGGAGTTACATTGGTACTCTAAAACTTACGCCTGGACAATTATCTTTTCGTACAGATGCTGAAATTTCTGAAGGTGGAGATGCTACTCCTATCAGCAATTCCGCACCTAGTGGAGACATGGACATCAACATTTGGGTTTAGAGAGATAGACGATTCAGACAAGAAGAGGCTAAGTAAGGTGAGGCTGGCAGCAGTTCCGGGAACTGTCCTACTGAAGAAGAACCTGTGTGAATGTTCAGACGTGGACACCGGTGAGACGCCGAACCCTAAACCCTTCAAAGTTTACTCTCGCGCGCCGAGAAACCGCACCGGTTTGAATATAGTGTGCCAATAAAGATGACGCAGTGGGTTGCATGTGCCGCCGTGGTCAGTCGTCGCCGCCGGTGACAACAGCAGCTTATGATCGTCGTCACTGGGCGCCGTCTCCTGTTGCTGTTGCTGAAGACGGGGCCGAGGCCGAGCATCAGCACGGGCCGTCTGAGGTTTCCGCGGTGGAAATGGAAAGCCTCGTTGCTCTAGTAGGAGCTCTGAAGATCGCTTCACCCTGTGCCTGTGCAGCTGTGAACCGGTCTGCTTGTAGTCTTCTTGGCGAATGTAAGTGTGACTGAGTAGCAGTCTGTAAATAGCTTCTCCGTCGGCGAGAAGCCCACGGTCCATGGATGCCGCTGAACACGGCCATTGTGGAACAACCGAACCTGTACGAAAAAACTAGACCGTGTTGGCACCAGCTGTGCCCAGTGTTTCTGTTGCCCACTGAACTGAAGTTTCAGGCTAGTCTGTTGTGTTCGTTTCAGAAGCCTACAATTTTCAGGGGAAGGGGAGGACGGTACGTGCTGACCGGGCGCAGTATGTACTGCTGTTGTAGGCACGCACGAGTTGACGAAGCTATACGAGCAGCTCGTGGTGAGAAATGGCTGGCCTAGCCCCCATGCCCCCTTGTGGACGGAGGAAGATGGGCTTATTTGCGAGCCATTTGAATGAGATGTAGTACCACTAGTAATTTATGCGGCCAGTCCGGCACTCCCGTTGTCAATGCCAAAAGCCCAAAAGTCAACTGTTGCTCGTATGGACCTGCAGGTTCAGCGGTGCAGCATCGGATCGGGCCGCACCACGGACCGCCGAGCGAGACGCCTCTTGCTGCGTCGTTCACGGCTTCACGCGTACCGGGGCGCATGGCCCCGTCCGTCCATACCGTGCAGCGCCAACGCGCGCGACACCAACTCCCTGCGGCGGCAAGCTCGATGTACTCAGCTCTGCCTCTGGGCTCGGGTGTGCGGCCGGCGCGCGTCCGCCACATGCTGCCGGCAGTAACGCTGAGCTGAGTAGGCGCTGGCGCGCACGGCACGGTCTGCAACGGCAATGGCCGTGGCCCCAATGCAGTAGAATTTTTTTTAAGGGAAAAGGAGTAGACGTTTGGGCGGACGCTCGTGGCTGCTCTGTTCCTGCGCATAGGAGCGGAGGGCGCGGACCTCAGCTTACTGCGGGGCCACCACGCGGGCATCGTGCCGCCATTGGTCCACCCGAGGCCACCACCTCCACAGGCGCCCATGCGCTACTTGGGTATGGTTTCCCAGCCGAGCTTGAAATGCCGCGACGAGGAGATAGAGGGAAGGGAAGGGAAGGGAAGGGAAGGAGAGGGAGGGGAGGGAGAGGAGAGGACGAGGCATGTCGCGCGAGGAAGGCCGCTGTACCACAGCAAAGTAAAAAAAATGTGCAATATCAGATCTATTTTTGAAGCATTCAGATCAAACATTTGCAATATAGTACAAAACAGACAAGACACTTGAAACATGCATGTATAGCCATTGCAACACCAAGATCTACTTTTAAAACATCTAGATGAAACATTCGTAACATACATATGAAACACCTGAAACATAGACTTGCAACAAGCGTATATTGTCATTGCAACCTATGCAAAATTCTAGATCTACTTTTGCAACATCCAGATAAAACGCTTGAAACATAAGTCTGAAACATCTGAAACATTTGAAACACAGCGTTCGCCACGTGGCCACGACCTACCTGGTGGGGACTGGAGTGGCAACGATGGAGAAGGAGGAGGCTGAGGAGGGTCGTCGCCCAAAAGGGCCCACAAGGAGCACCATCTCCGAGGCCGCGCCCTAGCCCCACGCGCGGGCGTTGCTCCAACACATACCCCATCGGAGCCGACTAGCGCGGGCAGCGACGGCGTTGGGACGGACGCGGCGGTGCCTGTGTGGGTGGGGGGTGGGGTGAGGGAGGAGATGGGGCACGCGACACGGGATAAGGGAGCCGAGCGTCGTGGGTGGGGGCGCGCGTCATAGGCTAGAGCGAGCGACGGGTGAAGGCAGCAGCATCGAGCGCATTAGCGTTCAGGGAACTGTTGGTGCTCAGATGTTCGATCGGATACCGAACCGTCCGACGGTACCATGGCCTGGGGCGATTCATTTCTCGCGCTCTCGCCTGCACTCTGCGCTCGTGCCAGCACACTCCCGCCCGCTCCTGCTTTTCACGCACCCACACGGGGGCCCGCAACGCGGGGCCGCTGGTACCCCCGCTTCTCACGCGTATTTCGTGTGCAACATCCGATCTACTTTTGAAACATCCAGGTGCAATACTTGCAACATATGTCTGAAGACAGATGAAATACTTGAAACATGCGTCTGAAACACTTGAAAACCATTGCAAACATACGCAACATATAAGTAAAACACATGCAACATATGTGTGAAACATATGCAACATCCAGATAAACACACTTGCAACATACATATGAAAAAACAGATGAAACATTGGGGACATACTCTTGCAACGTACATGTACAACCATTGCAACATATGCAACATACTGATCTACTTTTGCAACATCCGAATGAAATATTTGCAACATACCACTGGAATATTTGAAATGTACACTTGAAACATCTGAAACATTATTTCCATTTTTAATACCCCTATAGACATTGCAATTTATAGCATATTAAGGCATTAATTCACCTATTTTGTATCATAATATTGTGTTTTTATAAATATTAACTATATATATGTAAAAACATACACTTATGTGCATATTTATTATACTTAGAGGTGTCGTGATTTGTTTGGCTCCTCTTATTCAAAGCTGCTCGTTTCGCCGCTGGCGGCATGCGGTTGTTGCAGGCTGCACGCTGGCACCGGGGCGGGCGATGGAGTTTACGGCTGCGCGGCTTTGTCACGTGAATGCGCCAGAGGTCCAAATCGAAAGCCGCGTGAATGCATCAGTGAGGTCCAAATCGTACTACTGCGTAGAGTCAGTTTTAGGCGAACGAGTGAACGACTATGACAAGCCAGCCATATATTTCAAGGGCTAGGATAGGATGTGGACGTGACGGGCAGGACACGGATGATCCTGAACTGTTGGAGAAAGACTACTAGCCACACTGTACTAAATCAAATTCGATGATGCCCCAACTCTATTTTCATCTCAGGACTTGTTTACCTGCGCCATCCATTCCACTTGGGAGAGAACGGATTGGAGTGCAGTGAAAAAGTCCTTAGCTGCAACCGTGAACTTCATCTATGGCTCTATAGTAGATAACTAGAAAAAAACTTATGTTTAAACTTTATATTATATTATATTATATTATATTATATTATATTATATTATATTATATTATATTATATTATATTATATTATATTATATTATATTATATTATATTATATTAGATGTCAGAGTTTTCGATGCTCGTACAACTACACACTCCCTCCTACAGTGAGGAGGCGTTGAGACTTAGATGAAAAAGGGTTTCAAACATCGGTGTCTTAATTCTTACCATACCGTGGCTTGTCGAAGGACCAACAAAGTGCACATTTAGGCCCGTTTGGTATGTGACTCTAGCGAGCTAAGCCAAAATTTGTTCCAAGCAAAATATAGGAAGCGACTAATGCCAAACTAGACATAAAAAGTTTGTATTTGGTTTAGTTTGGTCGATGACAACTATAAGTGACATGTGGATTCCTTATGTCATTATTTTAAGTGCTAAAATAGAGCCAATATTAGGTCATGAAATACTGGATTAATTGCAAGAAATATGGTCATTCATCTGTTTGTAGATTGGATTGCACATAAAAAGTGCGTTTGGCAAGGGTTTGGTTTCTCGAACAAACGATTCTAATCATTCTGATTCACATATGAAACATGAGTTTGCCTTATTGACTTTAATAAAATTCACTTCAACTATTTATATGAAAATACATCGAAGCTGAAGAGATGTATCTAATAAATGACATGTTTTACTTTACAATAACCCAAGTTTGTGCAACTACCTCTCTGATTCTCATATGTGAGTCCAAGAATCGTTCCTAGTTCTGATTACAAATCTTTTTAATCATTCAGCAAGGATTTTTTTTCTAAGAGCATTTGGTAGAGATTCTACTATTTCGTAAGAGAAACAGTTTAAGGAATAGAATATCGACCAAACTTTATTAAGCCAAGGAGATACGTCAACTGGAAATGAGGATGTGTCTAATCCCGATTGGGCGTGGGAGTCAGCGATTGCAAGGTCTGACAATGGTGGAAGAGGCTCTGCGAAGGGCGCGGGTCGTGTCCTTCCATGGGCTGGTCAAAAGCGAAGGGCGCAAGTCGGAGGCATCCTTAGGTCATCCATGCTGTTGATGTATGGTGTGGTGTCATTGCAATGCTAGGGACAATGTTGTTCATGTTGGTGCGAGGACGAGGCGATGACCACTGTTGACGACTATCAAGTGCTAGGATCGTCCAAGGCCTACAAAGACTGCGGAGACTGAGGCTATGAAAGACGTTGTAGCTATGATAGCCACGCCGCCCTCGGAGGTGTGGTGATAATGGTGCAGCACATGCTTATGTCCGTGGAAGCAGATTAGACCACACCCTAGTACAAACACCATAGGACAAGGTCCCAAACAAGTGTAGGGCATGATGAAAACCACACGACAAAGACCCCTAACGTGCTAAAGGATTTCGGCGTTGTTGGGAAGGATGGGAAGCTAATACAAGACATTATAGTTTACCTAAAGAAATTGCTGCCATCAGACCTCCTCAAAGCCACTGATGACTTTGTGGCGGAGGCCTCTCTACCTCTTCGTTATGGGTCTCGGGAGTTTGTCATTGTCTATATTGTTATTTGCTCCTGTTGACAGTGATTAGTTGTTGTTTGAGTCATCTTAGTCGTTGTAGTGTGCTGTCATTTTCTGTTGACCGCTCCTTCTTTGGGGCTATTGTTTGCCTAATCTAGATCTTCTTTATTAATATATAATCGGTAGCTCTCTTGCTTGGTTCGTTTTTTAAGTGAAAAATGAACTAGAGAAAGGTGAGATTCGTGCCGTTGCTTACCATCGACGGAGACTTGGGTGCCTCTGTTGCTCTCCCTGTCTTGTTCTCTCGTGCTCAATAGAGTTATGTGCATGATAACGTGTACAAACAAATACTAAAATGGATGGTAAGCTACCATCAAACTATGAAAACAAACTGACGATTCTATTAACATTTGAATGAGCAGTGTTATTACAAAGTCATACATGACGAAGAGATTGTTCTACACCGGCGCGGGAAGAGAAATGCGGCATCCCTATATACTAAAAAAAGATAAACCAGTCGCCTCTTTCGTCATTAACAACCGCTAATCATGTCATTGATCACCGATTAATTGTATCTCTCACACACAACAGTAGATATGACCCCGTTCGTTTCGCTGAAAAAACAAGCTAAAACACTGTTCCCACTGATTTATTGTGAGAGAAAAACACTGTTCCAGCAGAAAAAAAACAGATTACGAGAGAAACGACCGGGCCATATATACTCCGTACCATTGCTTGATCGGGTATGGTGATTATTATAATATATAGCAAGTACAACTATAGTATTCCTAACACGACATGACGCGAAGAAAATTGAAACGATCAATAATGCGATATTAAATGCTCACGAGCTTTTTCAACGAAAAAATTTAAACCAACCGGTGCAGGAACAGGAACAGGAACGTGACCTCCACCACCCCGTAGCTGTCAGCAGCAGCAGCCAGCAGCGGCCAGCGGGTGAGCTGAAAAGCGAACCAGCCAGATTCGTCAGCAACCTGCAGGCCCGGGCCGGCCAACCAGATCCCCATCCTCCTCACCTCACGCCGGCCGAGTCCGGCTGCGACCCGGCTGCGCGGGTGGCGTTTCCAAGCGAGCGAGCGACCGCACAGGCGCACACGCGCGCGCGCGCCCGTAAAAAAATCGGGGTCAGCGCGTGGACTCGGCCGCTGGGATGGATCGAAATCTAATCGGCGGCACCGGCACCGGCACCCTGCCTGGCTGTCGACACTGTCGTGTCCGGTTGGTGGCGCCCCAGCGAAAAGCAAAAGAAATACCGGAAGAAACTGCCTCGTGCCTGTGCCTCTTCCTCTCCTCGCTTCTTCTCCCTGTGGTGTGGAGGCCAGGCGGCGAGTGGTCCAGTCCACCTCCAGCTACAGATCCCAGCTCGCGCGGTCCAGCTCTGAGTTCCCTCCTCTCCACGCCCGATCGTGAATCGTCGCTTGCTCTGGAGAAAGCTTGTAAATTTTTTGTTCTTTTGGATTTTTTTTGCTCCCCAACCTTTTCCTCGCGCGATTTCCTGCGTACGGAAAGTTTTCGGTTGGTGCGGTTGGTTGGTCATTTTCCCGCAACTTCTCTTTGGTTCTTGCGCGAGAGCGCCATCTTCTTTCCTGCTGCTACCCGTTGACTCGGCGGGCATTCCGTCGAGCACCTTCCGTGCGGCGCCGAGTGGCGGCGTGGGGGGCGGGGTCCTGCGGGGTTGCATGGTCCGTTGCCTGGACGGGCGGCGGTTCCTGGTTTCCCGGGGGGCGTTCCTTGATGCCGCTGTTGTGGCCGGCGCAGGGTTCTAGCGGATGGAATGCAACGGCTGCAATGGTATGTGATGCTTTTGCTGTCCTCACGAGGCGCCTTTCCCTTTTTTTTGGGGAAAATTCGGTTGATTGTTTCTGCGGCCGACTGATGCTGATTCGTGGCTGATGAGCCAGGCCGATAAGAAGTTCAAGCGAACAGGCTGTAGGCTGGATTGAATTTGTTGAGGAATTTCGCTCATGGTGATTTCTGTTATTCTGCAGCGCTGAAGTCAAGAAAGTTCGTTGCGATCGCTGATGCGGGGTTTGAGGATGCTGCAGACGGCGCCAGCGATTTTGGTGACACGATGAGTCTTGTGCACAAGCAGAAGGTTGTCGAGGAAACCGTGGAGATGGAGGAGGAGCAGGGGTTTCTTTGGAAATCTAGCCTGCTCCCTTACAAGGACGTAGATGATTTCGTTCTTCCTGGGAGTAGTAAGCGGCACGCATCAACATCAGGAGAGAGAGAGACAACTCTGTCTGGCAAAATGGACCCGAGGATAGACAGGTCTGGAAGCAATGGAACAAGCAAGGCAAGTGGTGGACAGAAAGTCAATTCATTTTCATTTCGCATATATATATATTTAGCTAATTAGTGACAAACGAACATTTAAAAAAAAATATTATTAGCTTTTGAGGTTGCCAACTCGTGCGGTCCAGCTCACAAGTTAGCTCTGAGATCCCAGCTCGCGCGGTCCAGCTCAAATATATTATTTAGATTAGATTTGTGTGCGAAATGCTTTCAAAAGATTTGTGTGCGAATGCAGGTGAATTACTTAACCTATTATGCATCATTTTAGCTTAGCCACGTGACTGAAATCAAATGTGTGGTGTCCTGAAAGTCCTTACCTTTCATAGCAGGTCCCTAGACTGGGTTCCATGCTTGAGACAGCCAGCATGGCTGGATTTGGCAAGGCAGTGGAGATTCTAGACACATTAGGCTGCTTGATGACGACCTTGAGCTCAGATGGTGGCTTTGTTTCCAGGTCCAAGACCAAAGGGTGCAAGATATCAATTCTTGCTTTTGAGGTTGCCAACACAATACTTAAAGGTGCTAGTATTATGCAATCTCTCTCGGAAGACACTGTCACATACTTCAAACAAGTTGTGCTTCCTTCCGAAGGTGTACAGAATTTGGTGTCCAGTGAGATGAGTGAATTGATGCGAATTGCAGCTAATGACAAAAGGTACCCTGCAAGATTGTTGTCAGTTACCACAGTGGCTTTCTTATCGTCTTTGTCTAGTGAGTGTTTTGTGAACTCTGGTTAATATTTGCAGAGAGGAGCTGAGAATATTTTCTCAAGAGATTGTTAGGTTCGGGAACCGCTGTAAAGATCCCCAGTGGCATAACCTGGATCGCTACTTTGTGAAGTAAGCTGATTTCATGATTTCTCACAGCAGCAAAGAATTAGACAAATATGCTTGAGTTTTTATATCTCTCTTGTTAATTTGATATCTAGGTTAGAATCAGAAAGTGCACCCCAGAAGCAGCTGAAAGAAACAGCAATAGCAGAGATGCAGGAGTTGATGAGCCTTGTTCAACGTACAACTGTGAGCACTGTGTTGTTCTCTAAAGATATCTTCTAAGCGACAAATGTCCATCATTTCATTTTATTTATATTTTGCTTTCTTTTTCAGGATTTGTATCATGAGCTGCATGCATTAGACAGATTTGAGCACGAGTACCGCTCTAGGCTAAACGGAAAGGGTAATACAGATAGATTTGAAAAAGGTATGGCTCCTATCTATAACATTGTATTTCATTTTAGGGGGAAAACTGCGGATGCTTTTTGTCATTTGTTATGTGTCCATTACCTAAACAAAATGGCATTGTGGACTGTGCCCATTATCTGAACTACTACCTCTGTTCCAAATTATAAGTCGTTTTAACTTTTTTTGGTACATCCATTTTGCTATGCATCTAGATATAATAATATGTCTACATACATAGCAAAATAGATGAACCAAAAAGTCAAAATGACTTATAATTTGGAACGGAGGGAGTAAAAAGGATTGTGGAAGCTTAAGCAAAGAAAATTTCTCCTATCACTAATGTTTCTCTAAATCTAAAATTCACCTCATTATGTTTTTTTTTTGGGTTTGCGATGCCTGAGCACGTATTTCATTAAGAGGAAGAGAGCAAACGCGACCACATGCACGACGGGGCTTGGCACCATTTAGAAGCCTAAAATTCACCTCATTATGGCAATGAAGCTGTAGTCCTTGAACCTTTGACACTATATTTAGGTTACTTTGCAGGAGACAATATTCAAATTGTGAGATTGGAGTTGAAGACCCAAAGTAGTTATGTGAAGAGCTTGAAGAAAAGATCTCTCTGGTCCAAGACGTTGGAAGAAGTAACTTTTTCTGTAGAATTTCTTTTGCATGCTAACATCAGCCTGCCTCTTTTTTGGTTGTAATAATATGCATTTCTGATGATAGGTAGTCGAGAAGCTCGTAGACATTGTGCACTACTTACATGTTGAGATCAACAATGCTTTCGGATCTTCTGGTACTTCCACAGCCCAATTTCTCATGTTGAATCAGTCAAGCTTATTTCCAGCTGATCCTCTTAATGCATTTGTAGATGGAGGTGTGGTGAATGCCGAATCAACTGTGAGCAGTCAAAGGCTAGGACCTGCTGGACTTGCATTACATTATGCAAACATTATCATTCAGATATATAGTATTGTAAGTTTCTCGTTTTTTCTAAGCCAGATCAAGATTTTGAGCTATTTACTTTCTTTTACCATCATAAATCACGTATCATCTTAAAGCAGAAAGCTACTGTGCTGTTAGCATCGCCTTCCTCTTTATTTTGGGCATTATTTTCTGAACTTCTAGTTCGCTAATGTAGATGCAGCTTCGATGATTGGATGTTATCCAAAAACGAAGATAATTAACCAAACATAAGAACGGCTGACTAGAATTGTGTAAATGGCTTCCAGCAGTGTTCACAACTCAGATACTATTTTAAGGCATAAGAAATAACAAAACTTGCTTTTATAGGTTTCTTGATCAGGGTATGTGCCAGCAAATTCAAGAGATGCCCTCTACCAGGGATTGCCACCAAGGATCAAGTCAGCGCTACCAAATAAATTGAGAACGACCTCAGTGCCTCAGGAGGTAATACAAGTAGAAAATAAGTGAACCATCGGCAAATTTTTCGCACATTCTAATCCATGAATTCTGATGCAGCTCACTATTGATCAAATATGGGCTAGGATGGAGAAAACTCTGAAATGGCTTGTGCCCATGGCCATCAATACCACCTGGTACTGTATCCTGCTTTACACCAAACATATGGTTTAAGGTTGATTCAGTTGTGCTGCTATTTGTAACGCCTCTACTGTCTTTCATGCTTACTTCAGTGCTCGAGGTTTCTTGAGGTTTAGCGAATGGGCGAAATCAGGGTGAGAATGACCATTTCTAATGCTTTGATCCATGTTTTTCATGAAATAGTTTTCTTTCTAAGATTTGACCTTTGTGTTGTGGTTTGTTTACTGTTTCATTCAGGACTGAGAGGGTTGGTAAGCGACCAGGTCAAGCAGATCCGATTGAGACGCTATACCATGCTGACAAGGCAAGGACTGAGGACTGCATTCTGGAGTTGGTTGTCTGGCTTCATCACCTCGTCAGCCAGAGTAACCGTACGGCAATGCAAAAACCCACTGACCAATGTATCTAACCAAAAGCCAGGAATGGTCATGGACCATGACATGCTAAGCATCGCACAACGCCTTTTATCCAGAATGGCCGTGTTTGTCGAGTGGTCTAAGGTGTCAGAATTATCTGAAAAGAGGGTGTTGAGTTGTGATCCAAATTCAGTTATGTACAAGATAAAGGCTAACTTCTGCCGGAGCAAAGCGAGGCCCGTCGCCGGGAGGCTTGGGCCGAAGCGAAGCGGTATGGATCGTCGTCTATTAGGGTTTTTCATCTATATATACTTCCTATAAGCCGTCGTCTTGGGATAAGAAAAGTCGTAAATCTCCGACGTTTGTAACTTCACCCGATATAGTGAAGATTTGTTGGCTGGTGTCCATGGTTTTTTCCCTTCATTAGAAGGGTTTTTTCACGTTAAAATCTCGTGTCCCCTGTGTTTGATTACTGTTCTTCGTCGTTTATATTGTCTATTGTTTCTCACAGAGGGGCATCAAACTCTTCTGATCCAGCTTGTTGGTCGTTTTTGTCTTCGTTATTAGGTCGTAGATGGAAACTAGAGTTCTTGCCATGGAGGACGTACGTTTTTCTTCATGTCCGGATATAGTCGGGCATGCTTATATGTGCTCTGTACACCAGCTGAGTAGGTGTAGTATAAGAAGAGCTTTGTTACTTTGATCTGTTTGTTATTTGTAAGTGTAGTTGTGACAATCACATTATACAAAGAAAACGCACATGTCAGTGCAGGGAAAAACAAACAAACATGAATCATTGAATCTCTTTCTGCCATATTATCTGCAGTTGTGAAAATCACAGTTGGTGACCATATGGATGAGCTATTTGCAAGGACATAAGCTGTCAAATTATATATAAACTGAACGCTCGATTGCAACCATCACTGGTATTCCAACTTGACTAAGCTGACATTGGAGACCCAAAAGTGCCGATCTTCGCTCCTTAGGCCTTGTTTGGTCCGGCTCCTAGGGCTCTAGCTCCTCCATACAGCTACTGTGCAACATTGTTGATCACTATACTAACTAACTAAGGGCATGTTTGGTTTCTACAGTCCCTCCTAAAATTCCTGTCACATCGAATGTTTAGGCACATGCATGGAGTATTAAATATAGACTAATTACGAAGCTAATTACACAACTTGCGACTAATTTGCGAGACGAATCTTTTAAGCCTAATTAGTCCATGATTTTGACAACGTTGTGCTACAGTAAACATGTGTTAATGCCAGATTAATTAGGCTTAAAAAATCGTCTCGCAAATTAGTCTCCATCTATGTAATTGGTTTTGTAATTAATCTATATTTAATGCTCTTTATTAGTATCTAAACATTCAATGTGACATTAATTTTAAGAACCAAACACTCTCTAAGGGTGCGTTTGGTTCATGGAATGGGGTAGGATGGAGCCGGTCCATCTCAGTTTTCAGGCTGTTTGGTTCATGGACAGGAGAATGGAGCCATCCCAATCCAGGAATATTCCCTTGAGATGCCGGACGCCTCCGCTCCCAAAAATCAACCGGACACGCTCGCTCCCGTTCACTTCCGCTCTAGTGCCATCTCTTTCCCGCAACCTCACACGGACGGACGATGGCGGCGCGTGCGGGCTCACGTGGGCAGGCGGCGGCGTGAGCGGGCGACTCGTGTTGGGGGGCGCGGCGTGGCCAACCTGCCGCACGAGCTCTTAGGCCGCGGGCGGGTAGGCGACGCCGGCGCGACCTCGTAGGCCAAGCTAGGGGCGAGTGGTGGCGGCGCGTGCTGGGGTTGGGCCGGTGGCGCGGGCTAGGGGCGGGCGACGCTGGCGTGAGCGGGGGGCCAGCGACGGCGGCAAGAGCTGGGGCAGTCATCCATGGCCAAAGGAAGAAGATAAGGTATAGTTTGACTAAAGGGTGGGACCCACAGTGACGGGGTTAAGAGAGCTATTATCCTGCTTTCTGGTATCCCTCCAACCAAACACCAAAATAGAACAAACAACAAATAGAACTGTCCTGTCCCTAGATTAGGAGCAGAACCATTCCATTCTACTCGCTCTAGCTCTGGCACAAACTAACGTGAATGAGGAGAAGCTGCCGGAGCCATGTTTTTTGTGCTCCGAAGGCTCCACCACAATACATCTACAGTCGCGGAGCTAGAGTCAACGGAAGCTCCTCCAAACGCGCTCTTAGACATGAACCCAATCTCTGCTGCAAATCCGGCCCCATGGACAGCACCGCGTGTCACGGTACCGAGCTAGCAAGCCCCTTGGAGAACGTGTCTCACTATCCTCCTGCAAGGGCTAAAGTTGAGTTCATGTCACATTGGACGTTAGGATACTAACTAGAAGGACTAAACATGAGCTAATTATAAAATAATTGCAGAAGCCGTGGCTAATTAGCGAGACGAATTTATTAAATCTAATTAATCCATCATTAGCACATGTTTACTGTATCACCACATTGCCAAATCATTGACTAATTCGGCTTAATAGATTCGTCTCGCAAATTAGTCTCAAACTATGTAATCAGTTTTGTAAGTAGTCTATATTTAATACTCTAAATTAGTGTCAAACATTCGATGTGACAGGGACTATAGTTTAGTCCGTAGAACCAAACACCAGTCGACTGCAAAGGAATTGATTCCTCATCGTCCTGGTTCATGGCCAACATGATCACACTTAGAAGCCACATATTAGCTGCGCTCAGGGGCTTACTTAAGATTAAGAAAGAGGAATTTTATTAATATCATGGAATTTGGTTTGATTTTATTTACGGGAATTTCATAAACATCCCATTCTAAAAACGGAACAATCGAGATTTTTTTGGTGATTGCCTGTAGTTACTAATTCATGATCTGGCATGTATAGAATGAAAACTTCAATCTTGATTCTACGATAATCTTTTTATAAAAGCATTTTCAATTACTTCTTGTCCATAGAAGTTTCATTTTCCTTTGATGGTGGTGAGTATGGGTTGATGTTGGCCACAGGGGCAGAGCCTAGTGGAGGCAATATTAGGCTCCCGCCAGTGAGTTTCTCAGCCTTCATCATGGACTTAAAACACCAGTAGCATAGCACCAGCCTAGAGTGAAGAGCCCACTCACGCACACACCATTTGCTCCACCCGCGCATGCACCAGCCCAGTACATTGATGACGACCATTTGCTCCACGCTCCGCCGCTGGTTGGCCATATCCTCAGTGACTAGACACGATGCACTATGTAGGTGAACTACAAACTCATGGATCTGAGGTGGGCAAGTGTGACAATTGCCAGGGTGGAGGAGAAAGGAAATGAATAGAGTTTCTTGGCCACGGGGTGGTGGTGTCAGGTGATGTGTGGACGGGGCTGTTATATGGGTTTTGTGTCTATGCCTACCTCTAACCGAGTTGGGTCATGTCAAGGCAATGCCAAAAATACAATTTTTTCTTTCATAACTGAGCCAGTAGTATAAATAGTCAAAATTTAATAAAAAAATAAAAAATCAGTGCAAATTGTACTAACTTAATGGGGTCTTATTGCCCCTTGCCCTTAAGCATTTTGTTATCAAATTCAGACTAAATAAATGTATATCTATGATCCCCGACAAAAGTTATCATGTGAAAAATTTAGAGAGGTCTTCCGTCATGGTCATTAGCGAACCGACCAATTCTTGATATGTCAACAACTAACTCCTTATTGGCTTTAATAAGAGATAGAATTACATATTTTTAGGGGTGGCCAAACAAAGTCACTGTACTTGATATTTAATTGTAGCAACATATGGATAATACGAAGTTATGATATATCTACATCTAAATATTTTTAGGGGCGGCTCCGACGGTGCCCCGACAGCGTGCGAGCTCCATGGCGGCCGCTAGGCACCGCACGAGTTCTGACCCGGCGAGCGGGAGCTCCGCCCGACGTGCGGGAGCCCCGACCGGTGTGCGGCCCCAGCCCCGACGTACGCCCCAGCTGTGGGGGTATGGCCCTCGGTACCCACAAGACAAGACATGGGCCGCGCCCTAAAGGTGGCTTAGCCTACAAGATCAAGGCGTGTACCGTAAGACTACATGAAGATGTGATTTATTGTATAATACAAATATTATATTTTTCTTGTAACCCTACCCCTCCAGAGTATATAAAGAGAGACAGGGGTTCCCTAGACGATATATTGAATTTGATACACCATCAATACAAAATAACAGAGGACATGATGTAGGGTGTTACGTCAAGCTGACGGCCTGAACCTGTATAAATCTTGTGTCTTGTGTCTTTGTTACCATCTGGTTCATATCACGCGTACCTCCACCGATTATTTACTACCATGGGTATACCCCTCGGTAGACTGCCAACTAAATTTTGTCGACAGTAACGCGTCAAGTAGGGATGTGCGCTTGATCCTCCGGTGAACCAAATGGCATACCTCAAGATAGCAACACGTTCTCGACGACGGCCCCAGGCGTACAACCGCTCATACAGGCCGCCGTAGGGGAGGTGCTCAATCGTACACCAGCAAGACCGCCGCGACGTCCGATCAAGATGGGGGCTTTCCTCGTCATCTTCGTCCGGCACGACTCGGCGCAACAAACAGCAGCCGCCGATACGCCTAGCAGTTCTACTCCAATGAAATCCGATCTGATCCATTGGGTTTGGTGGCGAAATCGGTCCCATTCCGATCAGCTCTAGGCACTGGCTTCTTAGCCTCATCGATGAGCCCTGAGCGCAGCACCCTCTACGGAAGGATCATCACGGAACCAAGTACCACCACTCACATCAAGCGGGCCCACAACAGGACTCCGTCACGACGAGCGGCGGTCAGTGGTCACGATCGTGCATGTGTTACAAGCAAAAAGAAGGACACACATACACGCTCAGCATGCATGCATGGAGGTCGCAAGCACAAACACGCCCGGCGGCTTGTTGACAAGCTAAGTCCTATTCCTTTCTTCCAATTTAGAATCGTATTGCATGTTTATGTCTCTGTGTATCTATATACGCTTATATGGTTATTCACAGCGGCGATCATCCTCGTCTTCCATCACGACTCATCGGTCCTCGCCCTCGACTACGACTACAACTCCAATTACTCCACTCCACCGGCTATTAAAGTGCCATGTTGCATCGTCTCTCCGACCAGAACGAATGCGGCTACGCTCTCCCTGATCTGCCTAAGGTCGACCAATAATATGAGGATGATGTCACCCGGACTACTCGTTTCGATCGTCTGCCACGTCGCAATGATCACGGCGAAGAACGGCGTTATAACGATCGCGACCGCCGCCATGACAACAGGCCATAAAGCTCGAGGGCCGAGCAATTTCATCGCCGCCGACCAGATGTTATGTCTAAAGATAAGTACCTTTTTATATATGAATATTTAATAAAGTTTTTGCCATGATATTTCTTCATGCTATTCTCTACATGATTATTCTCCAAATGACTTTTCTCCATGCTAAACATCTTTAAGATGACGCATACTATCGCCATTCAAATCAAACTGCGCCCTCGCTGTGGTAGAACCGCCCGAAATAACACACCTTCGGAGGCGCTCGTCTTCCACTAGACACTAAGCACCCCGAAAGCGAGCTACATCAGGCGAATTTCGTCGGGCACACCCCAAGGAAGAGCCCGAATAATCCACGTTTTCCTACAGGATCCAATAGTGAGAACGAGTTTACATAACTTAGTACATTTCATACACCCAGAGTTCATAAAAATAAATTATTACAGTACCAATTTCAGAGTGCGGAAATTTAACAGCGGAATGAAAAGAAACATATATCGATAATATACAATGATCCGTCTATGCCCACCAGAAGAATCATTCACACAATGGCCACTCCTCAAGCAGTACCTGCAACAGGGGTAAATAAACCCTGAGTACACAAT